ATTCATGACCAGCCCTTTCTAGACTGTCAACCAGTAAAGTATATATATATATGTCATCATTTTGAGGAGCTCAATAACAAGGGTTTTTTTTTTCTTTTACTTAAAGAAAAATGGAGCTTGAGACTCTTTCCATTTTACAAAAGAGCTTTGTCAATTTTGAACATTTGCACTGTCATTCTGCACCTAAAGTCCTGAAGTAAATGTTTGTGTGCCTTTGTGAAATGTTCACAGTTCCTTTTTACTTCCAATTTTTTGCTGTTTTCCTTAAAGTTTTTAAGGCTAAGTAAGTACAGGGTATATTTTCTTTGTTATCGTGTTAGCTACGTATTGTCTCTACTTTCCTTAGCTGTTGAAGATTGTTATCAGTTCATGACAGATGACTTATGATAATTATTATTATTATTATTATTATTATTAGGCCTATTATTATTAGTAGTAGTAGTATATAGTTTGATGATCTGGAAAGGGCTGCCTGTCTCTATGTCGTTCCGGAGGTAGTCTGCAGTGTTTTGATGGCTTATGGTTGGTACCTGAGGTTATGAATGAGGGCACCCACCATTGAGTGCCGCTGTCCTCTGCCAGATGGTCAGCGGAGTATGTCGGAGCGACTAGGTTCTCTCCCTGTGTCTGTGTCAGTCCATGACAGACACAGTAGAAGTTCCTCAATAGCTCAGTGCAGTAGCAGTACTTTGGAAAGTCCAGTTGTTCAATTTGTGCAAGAAAAGATTTCCATTTAGTGTTTAGTCTCCTCCAGGGGATAACGTGATTTGCCAGTGAGATCATTAGATGAACAAACATACTTACGTGGTCCAAATGAAATACAGTTTTTATCTGTTTTTAAGTCTGGCTGGAACGGCAAATTGTCGGAGTACTAATTGTATAAAATTAGACAAGTGTACACTGTGCTATAGTGGCGTGAAAGTGGTAATGTATTTCTAACTGCCACTGGTGCGTTATTCTGGTGACCAAATGCAGAGCGGTGTATCGGACAAAATCGTGTTTTAAAAAATAATTTATTGATTTGTTACACTAGTCTTGTCTGTATCCTTTTCGTGTCAAAGACAGGATGACATATCTAAATCCAATATAGCTGTTATCAGTGTGAGTAAAGCTACTTGAGTGACTGTTCTCCATAAGTGTGAGGACTTTTTGCGGTTCTCTCAACATTGTGAAATGTGCAGGTACGTTGCTCTTCCTTTGGACGGCAGTCTGGTTCCGAATTGGTGCACTTGGTGGGTCACAAAATGGAAGCACTTTAGCTAAGATTTTGGTTTTTATATGGGAATCCTGCACTGGGCCCTTGATGTAACTCTTGTGCACAGTCTGTGTGTTGTATTTGATTATATATTTTCTTCAGGCTTCATTATTTTTGTTGCTGTTTAAATTTTAATGCTTGCTTTTGTCAAATAGATATTTGCTAATCCTTTACATACTAGGTTTAACAGTTGAGTTTTCCTATTGCTTGTTCGAGATTTTGTATTTATTGATGTGTACCAAAGATTTAAAGTTGTGACTGTGATTTTAGCTCTTCATACACAGGTATAATCACTATAATGCAGTTTGAAGATCATTAGGAAAGTAGTATTTACATATATAATATACTAGTACAAATGCTTTGTTGAGCTGAGGCTGTAGAATGTGTGTATTTAATGATTGATTGACTCTTTGATTGGTTACTTGTTCAGAGTTTTTGTTTAGTTCGTCATTTATTTCCCAGTAATTTTAGCCATCAATTTAGTAGGTGTGTGAAAAGAGTTATTTTTTTGTGTGATCACAGTATCTTCATTAAAATGTCGCGGGTGCTGTAAAACCGTACTAAAAATAAAAAAGTGATTAAATTCTGTCATATTAAATGATGTGATGACAAGTGATGAAACGTGTCGTCAGTTGCCTCATAGTTGAACGGTAATGGTATTTTTTACTGGTCCATGGAGATATACTAGGCTGTGTCATCAGGTCGTGGATGAGGAGAATGTGCTGAGAGGTGCTTTAGACTTGTAATATTTAATTAATATATCTATGTTGTAGATGAGTGATGAGAGTTGACTGTTTCTACTTGGTCACTCGTGTTTAGGTTCTGAGTGGAAAGCGTTGGTGGAGAGGAATGTTGTTCAGCATAATAATGTCTTGTTGATCATGTTTTCTCTTTGTTTTGTTTTTTGGTTTTTTTTGGACGGGGATGGGATGGGAACTCGGGGATGGTCTTGTGCCAATCCCTCACAGGGAACGGAATGTATGGGGGTATGACCTGTAGAATTTGTTACGGGAAGAACAGAAGTTGTAGTTTGATATTTATTGTCATTCAAGAAGGGGTTAGATTTTGTTTCGCAACTGCAGTTTTTTTTAAAACAAGAGATATTAATCCTAACTTATTTATTCATTCACACGTGTTTACTACGTGTCTCTGCTCGACAAATGTCTCGTCTCCCGTCCCCCTCCGACCTCTGACCTCTATGTGTCTGCTGTGTGTGCGTGTGTCAGAGGAGGAAATCTTCCAGCTCTCAGCCGCCGAACCAGGCGGACCTGCCAGCCGCCAAATGGAAGCCCACCGGCCAAGCGTTTCACAAGCTCCCGGAAAACGAATGACGATGACCCAGATCCTTTACGTAAAACACTTAGTCGCTCATTGTGGTGGTATTATTGTTATTTTTCTCTGTAATTGCATCAAAGATCGTAGTAGAGAATCTTTGTGGGTGGTTGGCGGGTGCTCTGGTGTGGTTTGCTCTTTCTTTCCTATCAAACATCTGTCATCCTTATCTCCCCTCCTTCTGTTTTGTGTATGTTACTTACTCTCTTGTAACACATAATCTATTCTTCGGCACTTATGTGACCTTATTGTGTCGCAAGTGCCATAAAACTCTGACTAAAACTATATTTATAGATGGACAAACTGTTGTTAATGTTGTTTTATTATGCTGGGAATGGCACATGGGTGTGGGCGCCACTGGTAGGTCCTACTTCTTTTCTTTCCCTCTGTCCTTTCTGCCTGTCTGTCTTGCTTTCACTTTGCACTATTGTATAATTGTGTGTCTGTCCATGTGCCTCATTTAACTCCAAATGAACAAAGTCGGATGAACCACGCGGGTGATCACAGCTGTCAAAAATTTCCAGAAACGTGTGTGGGGGAAGAAAACTTTTGAGCATGGTGCTTATTTTTAGCCTAGTTTTATTTTCTTATTTCTTGATGTCGTTGTTGTTATGATGAAGGCTGTGACAGGGACATGTAGGTGTACGTGTCATCAGGGATTTTAATGATGAATGAATGAACACCCGTAAAATTTTAATTTGTGAACAGTTATATTGGTCTAATAGAATTGATAATATCTGGAGCATTTGCAGTGCCCAAATACCTGCTCAACAACAAGCATCTGTGCACTTTTCAATATACATGAACATTATTTCCCCATCAGATCTGATAGCATTCTGGAACAGTCTCAATTTCCTGGGAAGCATTCAGTTGAAAAGCTGATACCTGATTGTAATACATGTTGATAGTTGATTTGAATTTGTGTAAGATGCCTTTCTTACGGGGGGGGGGGGGGTTCTGAAGGTAATAATATAACATGTTCTGCTTTGAAAAAGAGAATGTCATGAATTTAGACCAAAGTATTCTTATTTCCTATCAATATGAAATGAAACTTTTTTCTCTTTTGACATAGTGCCCACTAATCAACTTGAGTGAAAGAAAACTCCTTGAACTTTGGTAAGGTACACTTTTGACTAATTTTTAAAAAAATGAAAGCAAAAAATTTTTTTAATTCCAATAGCTGCTATCTAACGATTAAGTGGTTTGCTAGCCTCTCTAATAAAATATTATGGCCTACCAGTTAGCATTGGTGAGAAGCCTTGTTGCTTTACTGTGCTGTACAATGTTTGTGAGTGGGTGGTTGATGTGTGCTCTGGTGTGGTTTGCTCCTTTTTACCTTAGATCTATAATGTTTATCTCTCCTCCTTCTTTTTTGTGTTTGTTAGTCTCTTGTAACACCTCTAATCTTCGGCATTTTTATGACCTGATATTGTGTTGCAAGTGCCGTAAAACTCTTATGGAAAAGAAAAAAAACGTTTGTGATGTCTATCATTGGTGAGAAAAAATGTAACATCTTATGGTGCTGGGGAATTTTCCTACCTGTATATCAGTTTTTGGGTTGTTGTATGTTTGTTTTTGTTTTGTTTTGTTTTTCTGAAAGCTTGATTTTCTCTGTTACATGTAACTAGATTTTTATTTATATGATATATTTGTGATGTGTGTGTGGGTGTGTGTGTGTGCTTCTGTTGAAGGAACATCTGGTATGTTTATATATATATATGTATTCCTATAGAAAACGAGTGTTTGTTTCTCATTTTATGGAAGTTGAAGAGTGTTTTCGTGGTTGTCTTCTGGTGATTAAATTTGAATGTGAGAGTTTGTGTGTTTGTGTCTGTGGTGTAGCTGCTAGGCGCTTTGCTGTCGCACACAGAAGAAGGCCTGAGTTGGATTCTCATGTGGTGGAGAATTTTTATTTAGTACATCCGTCGTCTTGTCTGCTGGGATGTTGTATATTCCTCTGAGCCCAGATTGGCCCTGAAAGACACGATGGAAGCCCGCCCCCTAAATGAGCTATATAAGTATACATGTATTGTCTTGATGGAGGCATAGTA